AATTGGAGGTGCCATCGGACCCGAATGATCACATCGAATTCTACATAAAGAACACTGCAGCACCTGGGCCTATACAATTCAAGTGGGCAATAATAAATTAATTAAAGTACAGTATTTTAATTATATTCCAAAGAGATTCCAAAGAGATAGAACCTCCACTAGGATGGAACATATGCAAACACACACAATGGTACAAACTTGCATTGAACTGTCTTCATAAAGCTTAAACGAGGATAAACTTCATATAAAATAATAATATTTCATCTGAACAATTTAAATTATTAAATGTAACTGTTATCTTTTAAATAAACTCTCTTACGTCCAATCGGCTAAAGGGGTCCGGGTAACAGGCATAGATTAAGCGTTTAGTGCAAGTACCGTACAAAGGTACATGATTAGAATCGAATGTAGAATTTAAGCAAACAAAAACAACATATCCAAAACAAGTCTATGTTATATTAAGCCTATATTGAAAAAAATGTAAACTTTTTAAAAATTCGGCCAAATTCGGCCAAATATATTTTGGCCGTGAGTTTTCAAACGTTACGGCCAAGCAAATTTTTATACGGCCAGATTTGAGGAATCTGGCCGTCAAAAAGGCCAAATGGCAACCCTGGTCGAAGTGGTGTGATATTAGAGAGCAGATCTATTGATATTTTAGGGGAGTTCTGGGCATATGAGAATACTGTTACAGTTATATTGATAATAACTTTTTTATGTTTAAATAAATATAAATAGACATACCTGTATAAAATATATAAATATGTAATATATATGATTGCATTGATAGTCGAATTAGTTCATTGGAAATACAATAAAGGAATTTACTTTCAAGTACCTGCATTGATAATGGACGACCCATTGTGTGGCATATTCTGCTGCTCTCTGTGCTCAGAGCCTGCCTTTTTGCTTGGGAATAATGCTGTGGTGGATCGGATCGGATGAGGCTAATCGCTTTCATCAACAATCGAAGTGCAAGAAGGTGATGATGGAGGACTTTACACGTTTATATGAAATATCTCATCTTAGCAGTACCCCTAAACAATGCTGCGCTACACCATCAAGAATTTTGTCAGATATGGTAGCTGCAATTTCAACATTTTCGACGATATTTTGTATGTATAGCACATCAGAATTTCAAAATCGCAGCCAAAATATAACATCTTCGATGTGGGTGTTGTCTATTGCAGCTTACATCATCTATGTTTGTGTGAACCATTTATCAGCCCAACACGTTTTGTGTGTGTTCGGAATTCATTTGCAAAACAAGAAAGCATATGGTGGTAGCGGTATTCCTCCTGGTATTATTTTGGTAAGAAAGCGAATAAACACAACAGTAGGCCTAGGCTAGGCCTAGCTAGCTAGGGCGGCTACTACTACAACAGGCCTCTAGAGGGCCAGCCTATTAGGCCTGCCTACTACTGGCTGGTGATGTCAACAATTTTGGTCGTCAAGGCATCAATTTGCTTAGCCTAGGCCCTAGGCCAAGATCGAAAAATATATACTGTATATAGGCCCTAGGCCTAGATAGAAAAATATATACTGTATATATAGGCCTAGGTCCAGCCTAGCTGGTGGGTGTCAAATCATAATTTGGGAATTCGAGTCAACTCGGCCCCAAGTCATCTTGAATTGGTCGACTGTTCCAGCCTGTATTTCACGACAAATTCCAATACAGGCTTTGAACGTGCGGATTATCAATATGTACAACGCAACCTACCTACAAGTTATCCACAGATATAACAAGAGTTCAGTTATAATCACGGGCACGAGGCCACCTATCTATAGTCAAACATATTACAATAATGATAGTCATTTCGCTAATTAGTGCTGATTGAATATTACTTACAAACTGTCGTTAAAAGCTACTTACAGTTGCCGTAATGTCTACCCGTATTATTTGTTCCTGGCTTATCAAACGATGGTCATACTGCTGCAGACCATTTTGACCCAACGCCAAAACTTTACTGCACTCAATGACCACCTGAATCACTTAAGAGCTAATGTCTCTTAAATGCAAGTAATTTACATATCAATGGTGCATGGCACATGTACAGGTGAACAATGGCAAAAACAGTAGCACATAACTTCATGTGACAGGTTGCCACTGCAAATTGGAAGTTTTAAAACTTATTTGAATGTGACCCTTCCAGCATATCCTAGAAGGTCGGCTGATATTCAGGGGCCCTCTTAAAAAAAATGAAATAATGTGACACTTTAGTCAATGAATTCTCTTTGTTTTTAATTGAGAAGAAGACCTCATCTTTTTCAAGGAGGGCCATCTGGCCTGCCCAACCCCTTAAACTTTTCAAAATTATTAAAAATTAGAGAAAAAAAGAAAATTATATTCAAATTGTAAGTCAGAGAGTGCCATTTGAGGCCATCTAAAGGTGCCTAATCATAAATTTTCCTCCATCAGTCGGTCAGTCCATTCTTGGGCCCCCTCTATTTCAAATTCCTGGATCCACCACTGCTGCTGTCACAGGAATTGCACCCAGGACCTTGGGATTAAAGGCAAGCATCTTATCCACTAAGCTATTCAACTCCATAGTTAAGGTTTGCTCAAAAGCAAATGGATTTCAAATACTGTATATCTGTATATGAATCTGACTTATTGTTTTTTTGTTATTGTTTCCAATGGCATATCCAATACAAGCTTTGCTTACCTTATTTCTGTTTTTTATTGCTTTGCTGCATGTACACTTATATCAAAATCACAGATGGGGAATGTGCCACCCGACAGTGATTTTTGCGGCACTCGAAATATTATTTTGTTCCCTCGAAATATTAAGTCGTTCCCTTGACATATTATTTCTTTCTCTCAAAATTAAATTTCGTTCCATCGAAATAATATTTTGTATATGGTGACCCCACAGTGCCTTCGACGTTGGCTGTACATTCAGCGGAAAAGGCATTTGGCTGTGACCGTATCATTCGGTGGCAACTACAGCATACATGTATATGCAGGAGTGAGATTTATAGGTTTGCAGTATATGTTCATAGCTTGGCCTAGCAACTAAATATTCCATTGCAATGTACTATACTATAGCAAAATCACCCCAGCTTTGAGCTTTTTGCACATGAAACACAAAAAGTGGAGACATTATATTTTCATATAGTGATCAGTCAGGGATAGGAAAATTCAGTGCAAATAAAAGTGATGATGTCACCACTGACTTATAATATACAAATGCTCGGAGGTGAGCGGTGAAATCTGTTGCCCCTCGGTGATGTGGAAACTGTAGCCTATCTTCACCGTTTACCGAAACTAGAGCAGTGAATATTTGTTTTATATACCTCATACGTAGATTCCATGAGGTCTAAAACAGTATTTTACTTCACATGCGACAGGATAAAAAAGTACTATTTTTCGGGGGAATACTGTACATTTTCAGGGGAATGGTTACTTTCTATTGCCCACTTTTTTAAGCAATCAGATGCCTAAAAAATTAAATTGAATTGAAACAGTCAGATGCATAGAATCTATGTATGAGGTATATAATGTAATATGCTGTTAAAAAAGATCTACATATTGTAGGCCTATATTTAAAGACTATTACTGTTTAATACCACAGTTAACAGTTACTGTACAAGTCCTTGATTATTTCCTTTTTCATTGTCTATAATGACTATATTATACTGTAATTCTACTGTAAATATTAAATGCAATGTATTGATGTATGAATGAGAAAGAAATGTAGAAGGATCCCTTAAGAAAAAAAAATATTAAAACTGAGAATAAAGTGGTATAAAAGCAATGCATGAAGGTTTTTGGTAGGACACTGAACATCAAAGTTGGGGTGTGACCCTCACTGTTAAATGAAAAATTCATTTTGGCCCGCCGACTGATTTTTATGCCCATTCCAGACCTAAATGGATTATGATTTCTTGCAGGTGAATTTGTATAGAACCCTGCCTTTGCGAACAGCATCACGTTGTTGGGGATCAGTCAACAGTGTAGATGTACCACTTTTTTTGAGAAAACCAATGTATGGTCTTTATAGTAAACTATTCAATGTCAACATAGATGAAGCTGACAATTCAGATCTAACATCCTATTGTAACCTGCAAGCATTTTTTACTAGGGATTTGAAGCCAAATGTCAGGGAAATTAGTAGTAAAGACTTGGTAAGTATGACTGATTACCTGCATTTAGTATTTATACATCAGTTGTCCCATTATTGGTAACCTTGATTTGACTGTGGAAATCGGCTACAGGGAAGTCGCCCGGCTGTAAACCTAGTGTCACGCTTCCCTGTGAAAGTATTACAAAAAGAAGATTCTTAAAAGTTTATGCCATAAGCATTTGATGAATCAACAGTAATATAACACATAAGATAGTGTAATACATGCTCCAAGTATCAAAATGCACGCCATCCTGTCGCGATTCAATATTTTGACATTAATATATACACTGTAGTATTAGATGATATATATTTATATTTTATGTAGGTCTCGTCAAATTCTTTTCTCCATGTTAAAAGGTTCATAGTGTTTGAATCTGTTGTGTGTGTTGAATAAAGCTATACAGGGCAATCTGTTGTGTGTGTTGAATAAAGTTATACAGGGCAAAAACTATTCCTGACTTTTTTACAATCCAAATTTGACATATGCTGAAACAATATTTCTGTTTGATTCCATCAGACTTGACATTGAAATACAGTAGGTCTACTACTTGTGTATGGTGAGATGCCCCATATTTTACATATTTCATGTTAATATGCTGCTATATCTTATTATAATTCTGCAATCATTATCAGACACAATAATCTGAACAGGAATGGCACCCACTTCTTTGTTGGTTTGCATCCTGATTATTGGCCATGTTTTGTCCCCACAAACCATGTGTGTTCACATGTTGTCCCACAAACCTGTGTGTTCACATGTTTTCACGCTGTCATTTTGTTGTGGGACCTTACCAGCAATACTGTATTCAAGGGGTGGGGCTTTGTGCAAAGGACCATTGTATAATGTGAGTTATATATTAATTGCTTGATATACATAACACTTGTCAACTTCTTATTTCTCTTTATAAAGCTTGTACTGTATTGTGTTTACAATTATATTTTAATTATTTAGACGAGTCCATGTGATGGGCGTGTGCTGTACCATGGAAAAGTTGATAATAGTAAGGTAGAGCAAATCAAAGGTATCACATATTCGCTCAAGTCGTTCCTCGGACCAGTATCTTGGAATAGCAACTTGGATGCTGTGAGTCATGAGGTACTGTTGAGAAATTTCTTATTGTTATTATATTACCTTTTAGGTTCCCATTAACAATTTTCTGTTTTGGCAAATATTAACGCCGTAACTAAGGAGAGAAAATACTGCTACTCCTGAAAAACTACAGACCGTATGGTAA